ACCTTTTAAAAACTAAACTCCTAAATAAGTTAACTAACAGCTAACTTCATTTAACTATAATGCTATTTTAAGGGAATATTCAGAGAATAATTACTTTTTTTAAAAAATCTACCATTAAAGTTTTATATGATTAAAATGTTCATAACAAAATAGACCTTATAAGCAATAAATAAGTTTACTGCAAGTAATGCCCCAGGATACATCACAGAACAACATTTGAACCTGGAATTAGTCTGCTATATAGCAAAGGAACAGATATGTTAGTTGATGGCATAAAACAATGGAATGAATGCTCCCAACTCTTGAGCACAAGCCATGTACAAAATGGACGAGGGCTTTAGAAATATCTTCACAGACTGCTGACCTAATAAAGGAACAGTTCATTTCAGAGGAGGAGATCTTTACAATTAAATCCAGCTGATTAAAAATGTAAAGTGACCTATCCCTGAAAGAATCAATGCTGTTGTTTAAGCTGGTCTAATGAGAATGCCACTATTTTAGAATCCTCATTCATATGCACAAAGAACACGGTGTTGTTTGTGTGAATCCTAATTCTACCTATTTTTGCAAAGCCCAGTTCAAGTGTCACCTCCTTCATCACTAGGGCTCCTCATGAATATTTTTCTCTCCTTCAGTAAAGTCTCTGCCATTTACCTAGCATTTATATTGTGGCACTGTGGGTTAATGAGCCAGAATGCAAAGCCACTGAACTACAAGGTTGGTGGTTCAAGCTCACCAGCTGCTCCTTGGAAACCCTACACAGGGTCGCTATGGGATGGCACCTAACAACAACAACAAATACCTAATTTACTGTAAATTCCTTAAGAGACGCCATTTCTTTTACTTCTCTGTAACCCAGTGCTTCATAAAGTGCTTTATACCTATTGTTTTCAATAAATGGAGGGTTAATGAGTACCTCAGCAGGATTTTCTTATAAGTTACTATATAGAAATAAGCTCAAAACTAAGTTTACTTGGAAAAACTGAAGAAAGCTTTGAACCTGTAATCCCTATCATCTGAAAAAGGTTAATTCTCTTCCAAACCCATACTAGTTCCCTCCACTTTTTAGATTTCAGTTGGTCACCATTTAAAACTGCACCCCTCTCCTCCACCACAGACTTTCAATATTCCTGTTTTCCTTTCTTGTAGTACTAGTGTGGTGCTGTAAATTAAGCAATGGACTGCCAACCTCAAAGTTGGTGGTTCAAATCCACCAGGCACTGCTCAGAAACCATACACTGGGTTGTTATGAGTCGGAACCAACTTGAAGGCACTTAACAACAAACTCTCCTCTTTTGCTTTATTTTTCCTTGTGGAATTTATGATCTGACATACTGTACATTTCACTCATTAGTTCCACAAGTAGGGAGATTTTTGTCTGTTTTGTTTACCGCTAATGCCCATGCTCAGCACATAGTAAACATCCGATTGTCACCTGTTGAATGAATGAATCAATCTAAAACAGGAATGAGCACACTGAGGAATTGTTACTTCTGACAATGAAATGAGCCCTTATCTCTCAAGAATACCAATATAAGTTACTTTTACAGTAGGACAGTGTTCTCAGTCCATTCGCTGAAAATGCCCCTTAAAACACCTTTAAGTCCTATCAGTCAATAATTGGTCTAGATTTATGCAATCATTTTTCTTTTGACACAGATATTTCTAAATCACATTATCAATTCAACAAGAATTGCCGGAACAAGGAAGTGTGGCAATATTATAATCTGTGCCTCTAGGCAAGTCAAACAATTTAGTCATACATTTCACCTTTCCTACTGGAGTTACCTGCTTTAAAAGAATCACCTGATTAAGTGACCTACAGTCAACTCACCAGATTGCTTACTGCTTTAACTCATTTCCATTTCTGCTTCACTTACTTCTTCCCTGAACAATACTGGTTTACACAGAGATCATGTGTCACTTCCTAACAGGCTTGTGATTTCTATTAGTTTGCTGAATTCATTAGTACGTTCCATAACATGTCAGTGTGAGTATTTTAAACTTTACCCTATAGTGCAAATGATCATTTGATAATGACAGGTTCCTGAGTCACCATGTTCCTTGCTGTCTACAAGGATGAGAACAGGGCAGATGGAGATTACACTAAGAGTAACTGTCTGACATGGTGGTGGTGGTGGTGGTGATTATGTACCGTGGAGTCGGTTCTGACTCATAGCAACCACCAATAGGGTTTCCGAGGCTGTAAATCTTTACGAGATCAGAAAACCTCATCTTTCTCCCGCAGAACAGCTGGTAGTTTCGAACTGCTGACCTTGAGGTTTGCAGCCCGACTAGTAACCACTAACTATGCTACCAGAGCTCCTTACTGTCTGATATAGAGTTACCCTTTATGAAAAAACTCCACACAATAACCTACCTTGCTAACAGATTTAAAAGTAAAATTCAGCTGTAAATTCTCTGGAGTATCATAACTTATTGAACAAATAAAACATTTTTTCTTCATTGCAATACTCCAAAATCATCTGTATCACCATAACCTTAGGGAAAATCCACTGCAGTGAAACCCTAATGTATCATTTAGAGACTTCCCCAATCTTACATACACTTCCTACTCTTTCTTCATCTCAGCTCCTCTGTAAGAACTTCTCAAGTTCCATTCAAAATTTCTCACCCACCTCCTCTTAGCACTTTGTCACAATACGTTTTATTTACCATGCCACTTATCTGACTTGTATCTATTCCTCCAGAAGTTGAAGAGTCCCTGGAATGAAGTGTGTTATTACTAGGAATGTGCCCAGCACAACCTTTAGACTTGCAGCTACTCAAAACCAAAACCACTACTGTCAAGTCAATTCATGGTCATTGTTAGTGCCCTGAGACTGTTCAGAATCACAGCGATCCTGTATCCGGTTCCAGAGGAACAGCTGGTGAGTTTGAACCGACTTTGTGGTTCAAACCGACCTTGAGGTCCAGTGCCTAATCCTACAATGCCACACCAAGACCAACCTAAAAAGATAGAGAAGTACTGTAAACCATGATGGCTTTGTGCCTTGGAGTCAGTTCCGACTCATAGCGACCTTGTATAGGGTTTCTGAGGCTGTAAATCTTTACGGGCCCAGAAAGCCTCATCTTTCTCCTGCGGAACAGCTGGTAGTTTCGAACTGCTGACCTTGCCCAATTCGTAACCACTACGCTACCAGAGCTAGTGTTTAAAAGGTTGTCATCTTGGCGCTAGAGGGTGAACACTGGACAGCAAGGTCGGTTTGAACACCAGCTAGGCTGTCCAAACTCACCAGCGGCTCCTCGGAAACACTATACAGGGTCGCTATGGGTCTGAATGGACTTGACAGCACGTAACAACAACAAATCTTACTGAAGCTGATGGAGAAGCTGGTGGGCTCAATACACTGACTTCAGATAGTAGCCAAGTGCTTAACTACAGGGCCACCAGGGCTCCATCAACTACTCAGTCAGTGGATTTTGGTACTTAGAATCCCCCTTCCCCTGTGTGAAATTCATTCCCTCAATCAAAACTTACGGGTGAACAATTATTGTGTCAAGTACTGGGATGACCACAAAGGATCAAGGATCACGGATCACATACTAACTACCCCAGACATTCAACATGAGACAATTTTCCTGTCTGCCCCATCTCTCACATACTTTTCATAAACTCATTTCAAATGTCACCTTGCCCAAGATTTCCTGGTCCCCACTGCTTCCATTCGGGAGAAAGATGAGGTTTTCTGTTCCCGTAAAGATTTACAGCCTCGGAAACCCCGTACAGGGTCGCTATGAGTCGGAGCCGACTCCACGGCACATAACCACCGACACCAGCACTGCGTCCATTTATAGTACCTACTACTCAGCTTCTATCCAAACTTCCCCAAATAGTGACTTAGGAACACAGTGCCTTGAACCTCCCTGAAGAAACACTACTGTGTATTGGGAAAGGCAGTGATTGGCTAAAAGTCCACTACCTTGTGACCTTGGACAACTAACTCAACCAAGGTTTTAGAGCCTCAGCACCCTCATTTGTTAAGCAATACAAATACCATCTGCCTACCGGGACATAATAAAGACTAACACGTAGCTTTAAAAGGCAAAGAATGAAAGGGCTCCAGAGACTTAGTAGGTGTTCACTAAACCTGAAAAACGCTAGCTCAGTGATTTGCGTATTAGGGCCTTGGGACTCGGAGCTGGCGGACACCGAAGGGCGGCCGTGAGCCTCGAGCCCCGCGCACCTCTGGCGGATGTGCAGTCTCCGCGGTCCACAACGACCCAGTCTCTCCCTGTCCCCCGTTCCAGAACCTCACCTTGGTGGTCGTAGACGCTAATATAGGAGATGCCCACGGCCATGCACCACACCACGAGGCTCGCGATGTCCGAGAAGCTGGGCTCCTGCTCCTCCTCGGTGATCACCAGGCCCATGTGCACCGGCAGCTTCTCCAGGGAACGGCCGTCCGCGCGCCAGCGCAACCGAGGATGGGCGGCGGCCGAGCCCGACCCCCCGCGCGGGTGCCGCTGGTGCCGGCGATTCCGGCCGGCCACCGGGGGCTTGCGGAGAGTGAAGCCGAGCGGCGCTAGGACCGCAGAGGAGGCGGCACGGCAGCAACGCCGCCAGATCCAGTTCCAGGTGCCGAACCGAACGCGGAGCCAGGAGGTGAGCGTGCGGTGCAGACAGAGCAGCGCGTGTAGCACCCGCCACACCAGTTCGTACAGCCCCGTCATACTCTCGTGGCACCCAAGTGTCCTCCCCGCCCTCCCTCCTACAGCCACGGTACGACGAATGCTTATCCGCCCCTGGGGCCGGCGCGGGCCATCGCTCCGGATCCCCCGCCCCCCCGCGCCTGAACCCCTTTCTACCGCCGACACCTCACCTCGCCCCTGCCGCCATCTTCCTCCTCCCCTGGCAGCCCCGCCCCCGCTAGCACATGGACATTTCTGATTGGCCGACGTGGAACTCTGACACGTTTTCTGGATCGAAGGATAGAGGCTATCGCTGTGTCCGGTGTGGAGAGGGAGGCTGCGCGCCTGTTAGCGGGATGGATTGGAATCAAGGGCGCCCCCTGGCCGTGTGGAGGCCGTGTGAAGAATGGACACCTAGAGTCCAAGGGAGCAATTTCCCAAACAAAGCTACACGTCATCAGGGTTAAAAAGGGCGATTTCCAAGACCCGGCGTCACTCGAGTCACTTCACATGTTCTCTCCAGAAACGATTTCCAAAGAACAAAAAATAATCCAAGTGCACTGAAAGTGATAAATGTTAAAAAGCACCTATCAATGCGTTACGAATCAGGCTGTGAACCTTGAGGTCAACGGTTCGAAACTACCAGCCGCTCCGACTCGATGGCACTTTACAACAACAAATCAATGCGTTTGACGCTTGGGGGTCAAACAGGGTTTCCAAAAGGAAAAGTGTTGTAAATGCCGAGGGAGTTCTTAATCTCCTAGCTGAGGCTAATTCTTCCCAGAGTGGAAATGAGGATCTTTAGTACAATTCCTGCCACACAATTCTGCCTAGATCATCCCCTCTTAACGGAATCCTTACTTGACTGTCCCTTGCTTAGTGCAGGTAGCAACCTGACAGGTCACATGGGTTTGAGTTCCTAAATCGGAACTCGAATACTTCTTTTTATCAGGTTTTCCTTATTTTCAGTAATTTTATAAATCTTATCTTTGTACTTGGGAGTTGGGGAAATTACATCATCAAGAGTTGAGAATGATGACATCAGCAAATTCCATGGTGCAACACTGTTGGAGTACATACATATTCTGCTGGTTTTCTGTAGTAATTTGAATAGGTTGTAAATTGGACTTTATGTACATAAAAGAAACGCTCCACTACCAGGCAGTCCAGTCTCTTCATTATTTCATTCATTCAGCAAGCAATCAGTTATTGAGTATCAAGTGCCAGCTGTGAATTAGATGTTCGGTATTCGGGAAAATAGGCTTGGCGCGTAACCTCAGTCACCTTGTGTGGTGCTCTTGGTTAATGCGCTGGACTGTGAAGTCGGTATGAACCGCCAGGTCGGCAGTTTAAATTCACCAGTCGCTTCTTCGAAACCCTGTACAGGGTCGCTATTTGTCAGTAACTATTCAACAGCGCTTAACAACAACATCAACAGATAGGCAAAATATTGAATGATGCAGAAAGCATCAAAAGAAGATGGAAGAAATACACAGAGTCACTGCACCAAAAAGAAACGGTCAATGTCCAAACATTTCAACAGGTAGCCTATGATTAAGAGACAACGGTACTGAAGAAAGAAGTCTAAGGCACATTGAACGCATTGACAAGAACAAGGCACTGGGGATTGATGGAATACAAATTGAAATCTTTCAACAAAGTGAGGCAGCACTTCAGGTACTAACTCATCTATGCCAAGAAATCTGACCAACTGGCTGGAAGAAATCCACATTTGTACCCATTCTAAAGAGAGGTTACTTAACGGATTGCAGAAATCATTTGACAATATCATTGACTAAAGTTTTACTGAAGATAATAGAAAAACAGCTTCAGCCATACATTGACCAGGAACTTCCAGTGGTTCAAGCCGGATTTAGAAAAGGACATGGAATGAGGGATATCATTGCTGACTTCAGATGGATCTTGACTGAAAGCAGACAATACCAGAAAGATGTTTACCTATGCTTTATTGACTACACAAAGGCTTTCGATTGTGTGGGTCACTACAAGTTATGGACAACATTACAAAGAATGAGCATTCCAGAACACTTAATTGTATTCATGAGGAACCTGTACATAAACCAAGAGGCAGTTCTTTGAACAGAACAAGGGAACAGCGAATGGTAAAAATTAGGAAAGGTGTGTTCCTCCTGGGTTGTATTCTTTCATCATATTTATTCAATCTGTATGCTAAGCAAATAATATGAGAAGCTGGATTATATAAAGAAAAATATGGCATCAGAATTGGAGGAAGCCTCCTCATTAACAACCTGTGATATGCAGATGATGCAACCTTGCTTGCTGAAAGTGAAGAGGACTTAAAATACTGATGAAGATCAAGGACCACAGCCTTCAGTATGGGTTGTATCTCAATGTAAGGAAAACAAAACTCATCACCACTGGACCAATAAACAATATCCGTATAAATGAAGAAAACACTGAAGTTGTCACAGACTTCATTTCAGCCATCAACACTCATGGAAGCACAGTAAAGAAACCAAATGCTGTATTGCACTGGGCAAATCTGCTGCATGAGAACTCTTTAAAGTGTTGAAGTGCAAAGATGTCAGTTTCAAGACTAAGGTGTGCCTGATCCAAGCTTTGGTCTTTTCAATAACTTTATATGCATGCGAAAGTTGAACAGTAAATAAGGAAAACCATAGAAAAAGTGATGTTTTTGAGTTACGGTGTTCGAGGAGAATATTAAAAATATCAGGGACTGTCAAAAGAACAAATAGATCTGTGTTGGAAGAAGTACAGCCAGAGGGCTCCTTGGAAGCCAAGATGGCCAGACTGTGCCATACTTCAGATTATTATCAGGAGGAACCTGATAATCCCTGGAAAAGGATACCATGTTTGGTAAAGTGGAGGGTCATTGAAAAAGAGGAAGATCCCCAGTGTAATGGATTGGCACAGTGGCAGCAGCAATGGGCTCAGTCATAGCAATGATGAGGTTAGCCCAGGACCAGGCAGTGTTTCATTTTGTTATGTGTAAGGTTGCTATGAGTCGGAACTGACTAACAACACCAAGCCCATCCAGCTTTATTATCCCCTTCACTTTATTCTAACACATGAATGTCAGGTTGTTATTGTTGCTGTTAAGTGTCTCGAATTGGTTCTAACTTATGCAGACCCAGTATAGGGTTTCTGAAAATAGCTGTTGGGTTTGAACTGCCGACCTTGAGGTTCATTTCCTTTTTGGCAGCTCAGCCCCTGAGAAAGTGAAGTATGGGAATCTTTCATGTCTGCAAACAGCTCCATAAGGTTATCTGGACTGTAATCTTCCAGAAGCAAATCATCAGACCTGTCTTCTGAAGTGTCACTGGGTGGGTTCAAGTCACCAACCTTTTGGCTAGTAGTAGAGCACTGGTGTGGCACTGTAGGATAAGCAATGGACTGCAAGGTCGTCAGTGGTTCAAATTCATCAGTTGCTCCTCGGAAACCCTATACAGGGTTGTTATGAGTCAGAACCAACTCAAAGGTACTTAATAACAACTTAAGGAGGTCTGGTATGATGCTATAGGATAAGCACTGGGCTTCTAACCACAAGGTCAGTGACTCAAACCCATGAGCTGCTCATCAGAAATCCTACACAGGGTTGCTATAAGTTGGAACTGACTCGACAGCACTTAACAACAACAACAAGTACTTAACCATTTGTAACATCCAAGGACTCTTCTACTTACCTGCATAAGTCATAAGTTGGTTATGAGGATCAAGTTAAATGTAAAGCATTTTATAAACTGACAATTAAATCAGTGTCCTCATAAAGTTTGGAATTTGTATCTTAGGATGTTGTATAAAGTTTGGAATTTGTGTCTTAGGATGTTGTATAATTCTGTTTTTTACATTTCTCTGTATCCTAGTACCGAGGTCCAAACTTTATATTCTGCACACCACAAATTCCTTTGTTGTTGTTGTTAAGTGCCGTCGAGTCGGTTTCGACAAATTCCTTTAAGACCTCATTTATTCCCCTTTCCCAGAAAATGTGAAAATAAGACATAATTTAGAAAAGAGAGAACTCCATAGGCTTTGGATTGAATACACACCAGGGCATCTAATGGGATGGTTTTGGTATTGTTCCATATTATGGGACAATATCTCCTGACTGTAGTGAAGCAGCAGAAATTGGGAGCAACCACCAACCATTTCTGACTATGGAAAGGTACTGACGAACAGTGACCAACTGTCCTACTCTGGTCATCTTTTAGCCAGGAGAACTGTTACCTTGCTCCTGACTACTATGTTGTTGTTGTTAGGCTGTCAAGTGTATTCTGACATGTAGCAATCCTGTATAGGGTTTTAGAGGAGTGCCTGGTGGGTTTGAACTGCAACCTTGCAGTTAGCAGTCCAGTGCTTTATCCTACAGTGGCACACCAGGACTCCACTGACTGCTGTAAGGGGGGGGTGGTGGGGAAGCAATTTGGAGAGTTGGCTTGATCTGCATTTTGAGGGTGGGAGAGATGGGGATAATCAGATATAGATAGAGCCAAGATTTTTTTCCTCATGTTGCCACTTTAAAGGAGTACAAAATATGTTCCCTGAATGTGCCTGCAGATCTGAGAGGTGACCATCGAAGGTGAGAGTTTTAGTTCATCAACTGGAATTGTCAAGCACTGGCGCAAAGAAGTGATTACATCAGAGAAATGTAGCAAGGGCTCAGTTGGAAGGCCTGAAGAATACGGAGCTAAATCTCAAAGGGATGCTGGTGACTAGAGAGCTTCCTTAGCAAAAGACCCTGGTGTGTGCCATGGAGTCTGTTCAAACTCGTAGGGACCTTGTATAGGGTTTCCAAGGCTGTAAATCTCTATGGGAGCAGAAAGCCTCATCTTTCTCCCTCAGAGGCTAGTGGAATACCAGAATACCCTAGAGCCACATAAACCAGGATATAGAACAGCAGTCATGCTTGGTGGGGAAGAAGATTACAGGCTTCCCTGCTCCTGGCTTTTCCCTCTCCCTCTTCTTTGTGATGGGTTGTACAAATGATTAAGCGCTACTAACTATAGATGTTGGTAGTTTGAATCTACCCAGAGGCACCTCTGAATAATAGCCTCCAGATCTACTTGTGAGAGATCACAATCAGTGGAAACCCTAGGGAGCACAGCCTACTCTGAAACACTTAGAGTTGCCACGAGAAGCAATGGACTCAACAGCAACTGTTTTGCTTCTTTGTTTGTTTTGTTTTGATTTATTTGCCCAACACCAGTGGAGCCAGTGCAAAAGAGAGACAGAGAAGCATGAGAGAGCTTCAAAA